ATCGAGAGTCGGTAGGGTGCCTGGTGGTGAACACGATAGTCAGGCACAAGCTGAATGGAGTGCTCGACGTCACGCATCGGTGGGATGCCGGCGTACGAGAACGACGATGGGAAAACGTCGTGGTACTCTCGGATGAGGTCACGAATTGTGGGCTCCAGGTCAGCCGTATATCGAGCGAGTTCCTTAGCGTCAACGTCAGTGCCCGACGGCGGGGTGGACTTGACGGACGGCAGAGGGACGGAAGTAGAGATGGGAGCCATGGAGATAGAGGGAGGATCTGGCTCCAGAGGGATGAGCTCGGCGTCGGGACAGGGTGGATCATAGTGTAAGAGATCCGTCACGTCCACCATAAAGAAGGTGACGTCGTCCTGTCGAATGAAGTGAGCGAACTGCCGAGGCGAGGTGACAGTGATAGAGGGGGATGGTGTGGGCACTGACGGCTCCGGGGGAGGAGGATCGGGGCGTGGTATCGTCGTGGTACCTATGAAAGGTACGCGATACGTCTGTCCACACTTTGTTTTGAGAACGAGAGTGTTGGTCGCCCAATCGGCCTCGGTGCTGCGGAACCGACGAGACCACGGAGTGCCGAGAATGAAGTCGTACCCCGTCTCCATCACACCGAAATGTGCAGAGAAGCGGTGGCGACGAGACGCGGGGGAACGATCAGTCGGCTCGAGAGTGAGGAAGAAGGGGAGGTCGGTGACCGTCTGATCGAAGAAGCGTTGAGTCTTGTCATCCCCTAGGATAACGGAGATGGGAGTCGGAGACCCTCTCATGGGTAAGCGGACTTCCTTCACCACGCGTGGGTGAATGAAGCCGCCCTGAGAACCGGAATCCCACAGCGCTGAGTACACCCTCGTGGAGGTCCCGAGTCGTACTGGGATGATCGGGAGGGTGCGATTAGGGTCAGAGAGGATGGCGAGAAGGCGACGCAGTGCAGCGACATGAAGGGTGAGTCGCTCCTGACGAGCCTGGAGCATGCTCAAATCCAGAAGAGAGGACACAACGTCCTCGCGAGTAGCAAGCTGCTTGCTGCAACGGGCTGAGTGAATGGCTCGACGCGTCGGTAGTCGCGGTGGGGAAGGAGGGGAGACGGTGGTCTGCGGAGGCGCAGACGGTACTGCGACAGAGGGTTGAGTACACTCTGTCGAGTCATGCGACACCTCAACTCCAGTAGCGAGAGGAACGAACCACGACGAGAAGTCGGGAAGCCCACTACTGAGGAGGGCGCATGTGTACACCGCACCGTGGCTAGGAGGCGCCGCAGGGACGTGAGGCGCCGGGGGGGGATTGAGCACGACGCTGACCAGAAAGGTCAGCGTAGTGGCGGTCGAGGGCGGTAGTGTAAGGGCACCGCGAGGAGGTATGACCATCCAAGCGGCAGCGCAAACACCCACGTCGGCCCAGAATAGCCACGCGCTCCTCAGCGGAAAGGACACCGCGAGGAGGGATGAAGCCCTGAGGGACCTCAGGGGGCGATGAGCCAGCGTGACCGGGGCAGCTGCGTGCCCGAGAGAGGGCGGAGAGCGCGAGCTGAAGGCGCTCAGCTGCAGGGAGGGTAGAGTCCTCCAAGTGATAGTCGAAAGCCTCGCAGAGATCGAGGTCATCGCTGTGGTCGCCCTCAGGTGACAGTGGGGCAACAGCGTCCTGCTCACCATACTCCAACGCGCTGAAGCAGCGCGAGAAGTGGCGGCCCTGCTGCGTTGAACGGCGGGGGCGACCGCGGAAAGGGGAACGGCGCTGGGCTGTGCCGTGAGAGGAGGAGGAGGCGTAGCCTGTGCGCTGGGGCTGGGAGGAGGAGGCGGGGTGAAGACGGGCTCGCATCCGCTGTTGGTCCCTGGCGGCCTCGTAAGCCTGTGGGGCCGATGTGAACTCGTACCGCCATAGCTCGGAGCGGTACTCGAGCGGAAGGCTGGCCAAGAAACGATCGATAAGGGCAGCCTCGGGGAGGAATGCCACGTCGCAAACGAGGCAGGCGTCCTGAAAGACCTGGATGTGGCGATCCAGGCCGGCAGCGCCACCAGAGCCGGACCAGCGCGTAGTGACAACACGCTCGAAGGCGTCAGTCACGTCGTATCGGGCTCCGAAGCGATCCATGAGGAACGCCTGGAAATTCACGAAGGTCGGAGTCCGACCCTCACGAAGGGAGTAGGCATAGAAATCCTCCCAGGTCTCGAAAGGACCACCACGCACGCGCGTGGAGAGGTGACCCACCCACGTCTCGGGTGTGGCACCCATGAGCTGGAGTGTGCAGGTGGCAGACTGCAGCCACCTAGACACGCGTATGCCTGTACCGTCATACAAGGCGATGTCCGACAAGCGGATGAGTGGTGCGCCACTGTTTTGGCGGCGAGGGGATCGAGGAGCGGAGGCCTGTGCCACGGCTGAGTAAGTCGGCGCAGGTCCTGGAGAAAGGGGCGCAGCCGACTGTGCGCCCGGGCCGCATGGGGGAGCGGCGGTGGCAACAGCGGCAGGTTGCGAGGGTGCTGCGGTACAAGAGGTCGCAACAACCGGGGGAGTAGAAAAAAGGTAGGAAGGAGTTGTATAGGGTGCAGGGCGCGAAAAGCGAGCCTGGATGGGAGGAAGGCTAGAGGAGGTAGGGGGTGCGCCCGAAGGCGCGGCCACTTGTGAGGGTGGGGGTGGCTGAAGTCGTAAGAGGGCGAGGTCGGCCCGGAGCAGGGCAATCTCGTCCGCGAGACCTCGAACGTAGGTCGATCGAGGGGTTGCAGGAGGAAGAGTGGAGGGGGTGGACGCACAAGTTGCGCGGGGCATCCCAGAGGGGGAAGAGCCAGGTGGCGCTGCGGTCGTGCGAAGGGGAGGGAGAAGCGGGGCACCCGAAAAAGCTGAGACCATGGTAGTGGGTTGTTGTACCGTGGCCGTAGTGACCGGGATCTGGGCGGGTGCGCCCGTAGACTGAGGGGAGGCCTGGCTCGTGGCGGCCGTCATGCTAGGGGCGTGGACAGTCACCAAGATGGCCAGGTTAGGGGCAACAGAGGAGGAAGCTCCGCCGTGGCCACCCTGTCGGAGGGCGGGGGACCCGGACTGGGAGCCAGGAGATGACGGACATGCAGCGTCCTAGAGTTGCTGCATGCCGGCGGCAAGGGTCGCGAGTTGCGCCTGGATCGGCGCAAGGAGGGAGTTGAGGAGGGTGTGTAGATCCCCCTGGGGCTGATGGCCCTGGTTCGCCGACACGGGTGTGGATCCCGATGCCGTGGTCATCGCCGTGTCGGCGGCGTGTGACGCACCGTCGGCCATGGGGAGATGACGGACCGGACTGGAGGGGGCCACAAGAGGTCCACGTGAGGGGAGGGCGTAGGGGGAAGTCCGCGGTAGAAAGCGGCGAACGGCGCTAGCAAGGCTAGCACGGGCGCCGTCAAAGGGGGAGGGGTGGTTCGGGCCCAGGGTGCCCGAAGAGGACGGGGAAGTAGGGGGGGTTTGAGGAACCCTAAACTCTACAAAAACCCTAAGGAAAACCCTAACCGAGGTTTAAGTGGTTAGGGAAGGGTACCGGTGACCTAATTAAGAAAGTAAAAGAGCAAGCATAGCGGGGAGGAAGGCGGGAGAAAAATAAATAAGCAGCGAGATTTCGAGAGAAAACAAAAATAAATAAGAAAAAAATTAAATAATAATAAAAATGATTAAAGAAATAAGTAAAGGATGGAAAGGGAAAACAATTTTTTTTTTTATTATTATTTTTTTTTAAATTTTCGGCAGCATTTCCCTACCCCCCACGGGGTCAAGAATGTGCCAAGGGAAAAGGAGAGACCAAGGTGAGCACACTAGAGATGGCGCAAATAATAAAAAGAAATTTCAGGAAATAAATAAAGAAATAATAAATAAATAAATAAATAAATAAATGTGTGAGGATGTGGGGAGAAATGGGTTATCTGATTTTTCAAAAATTTTGGCAGCATTTCGTTACCCCCATGGGGTCGAAGTGTGCCGAAAAGACTAAGTAAGAGAAAATCAGAAACTTCCGGCAGCACTTCGTTACCCCCACGGGGCAAAAACGTGTGCCGAAAGCAAGAAAGGCTAACACCTAATCAGATTTAGGGTTGCCGCCAAGAAATTTGAATTTTCAGAATAAATAAAAATAAATAAAATAAATCAGAAATAAGAAAAGAGGGTGGGGAAGAAGATGAGAAAACTAACAACTAATCAGATTTAGGGTTGCCGTAAAGAAAATTGAATTTCCAAAATAAATAAAAAAATAAATGAAATGAATCCGAAAATCAGAAAAGAGGGTGGAAATAAGAGATTTCAAATTTTTGGAAAAGAGAAAAGATAAATCAAAAGAGAGGTGGAAAGAAGAAAAACAGAAAAAAATTCGAAGTAGGGGGGAAGGGGAATGAAAAAGTGAAGGAGAAAAGAAAGAAATAGGTGGGGGAGAGAAAAAGATAAAGAGGGAGGTAATTGGGGGAGAGGAGGGATGGTGAAAGGTGGACAAGGATCAAGAAAGAAGGAGAAAGAAGGAAAGAAAAGAAGAGATGAAGAAAATAGAGTAAAAGAATGGGTGGTGGGAGAAAGGTGGGGTGGGGAAGATGAAAGGAGGAGAGAAAAAATGCAGTGGAAGGTGGGGGAAAGAGAAGGGGTTAGTAAGAGGAGAGTGGGTTAGTAGAGGGAGAGGGGAGAAGGGAGTGATACCTGACCCTTGGTGTCTCCAAGGGCACAGGGTACACCAAGACCAGGAGGGTCTTGGTCTTTGCTGCAGCAGCCAGTTGGAGGAGAGAGGGGGGGCTGAGATCTTGATCAGCCCCCAACAACACTTCTGCAGATGTCCAGATGTAGGGTCTGCTGTGTGAGCAGGCCCTCTCCACTGTAGAGCAGCCCCCTACGCAGGGGGGTCTTCAGTCCCACCACAGGCTGCCACGTGGCCGTGGAGATGGCCACGTGCACAGGCAGCAGGGGGGGGGGTAAATAGCCAGCACGGCACCTCTTCAACACGAGTGTGCCGTGCTACAGGGCCATGGACACACTGTAGCGAGTGTGTTATTAGGCTGCTTACGCACGCGCATGGCTCGGCAGGTGCCTGGGTTCAAACCCCAGTGGCAGCAGTTGCATCCCGGATCTTGATAATATAAAATCCTGGAGCGGGGCGGGGCGGGGCAGCGGGGCAGCGTGGGCGCGTGCGGCGGCCTTGGTGGTGTGGTGGGTGGGGGCGGGGCAGCGTGGGCGCGTGGCGTGTGCGGCGGCGGTGTGGTGGGTGGGGGCGGGGACCGTTCCCACTCTGATACCAATGTAGCGGACCCACCAGGTGTGGTGCTCCGCTAGTGACAGAGATGGAGATGGAGGAAGAAGGGGGGGAGCGAGATGGCACAACGCAACTCCCCATGCAAGACTCCAACGCACGTACTCCAAAATGTGCAAGTGAAGAATGAGGCTGAAAACAGACAATGGCTGGGGTATACCCCAGTGACCTGACGAGACTGGACTGGACTGGGTGGTACCGAGAGAGGTACCGGCCTGGACTGGCCTACCCCGAATACAACACAGGCCTGTGAGAACAGGCCAAGGGGCTGGTCTCACAGGCCAACCCGAGGTCCGCTACAAGCTCTCTTATCTTACTTTCTTCCTATTGACGGCTGACCCAGCAAGGGTGTTCTTTTTTTCTGTCTAAATCTAGTAAATCATTGCCATTTTTATTACTGAGCGATTAGTACTTGAGTAAAGAAGAGGAGAATTCTATACATGAATCACGCCTATGTCGGTTTTCCAACAGAAACCTGCCCGTCCTATTGGACAACACCCTATCCCTTTAGACGGGCCAGTAGAACGGCCGTTCGAGGCATAAAGCCTGAGGCCCCTGAACATGGGGGCCTGGGGGTTGTAGGTCCCTTCCTGCTTATTACAAAAAAAAAAGAGGATTTTTTAATTTTATAATTATTATTTTATTTTTTTTGAGGGGGGGGGCCGATAGGAGTGTTGGGACAAAAAAAACCTTCTGGTCCTGACGCAGACGGGCCGGAAGGAG